AAGAACCTTGCTGCTCAGATCTGCAGACTCGGAATTCCACTTGGGCCCACTTACCGGCTCTGTCCGTGGGGTCTTAACCGAGGTTTTCGATGGAGGCTACCGTGCAGGAAGGCAGCCCTGCTGCCCGAGTGTGTCCGCAGCCCACCACGGTCTGTGGAGCTGATTCCTGGGAAGTTGGTTCTTTTGGGAAGTACCTGGATGGAACCCATGCCATGGTCCAAGACACTGTTCTGCACCTTCTTGCCAGGGTGGCTGAGACTAGGGCTTGGGGTTCCTGACTTTGTGATATCATTTAGGCTAAAATCCCTCCACTTTCACTTGGAGGTAACTGTGATCACACCACATACTGGTTAGGAACAGCGTCTTCTTGTGGATGAATCTGTCCCATTCCCCCAGGCCCCACCCACTCCAAGCTCCACCCACTCCAAGCTCCACCCACTCCAAGCTCCACCCCGGGGCTGAGAGCTTCCTTCACTTCCTGTGATCAATACCCACCCAGCTAAGATGCCCAAAGGGTCAGGCTGGGTAATTATGTATCCTAGGGCAGGCACTCTAACCTCTCTGAGCCTGTTGAAGGATTTGTGAGTTAATGTACAAGGCTCAGTGGTGGCCCACAGGGGCGTGGAGACACCTGGGGAAGCATACCTTGATGACCCGACCTCGGAAGGTACTCTCATCCATCCTCACAGCAGCCTTGACAGAGCTCTGCGAAGCAAACTCTATATATGCATAGCTGGGGGGAGAATAGAGGTGTGAGCAAGGAGTGAGGGGCCAGCCCCACCCACACTGCCCAGCCTGCTGTAGCCCCACACTGACCCTTTAGGGTGTCCAGAGAACTTGTCGCACAGGATAGTGACCCGGTGAATCTCCCCACAGGGGCTGAAGTAGGCCTCCAGCTCTGCAGCTGAACCACCATAATCCACCTGCTCTCAGAAAGGGCACCTGGGGTAAGTGCTAAGCTCTCCCAGTCTACCTCCTGCTGTGGTGGTTGTGGCAGAAAGGGGCTGGAGGGACCCCCAAGGTTGGTTGGCCCCTTGCTGGGAATGGGTTGAAGGTTTACCCACTCCTGCCCAGGGTTTAGTGCTGAGAGATAGTTAAGTGTTTCCTATGTGGACAGCTGGTTGGGTCCCAGGTATTAGCTCATGCCAGGTGTGCAGCCCATTAAAGGCAGGAAATCTCATGGGACTCCTAATTTCAGCTCATGTTGAAAAACCCGAATGCTTGACCTCACCTTCAGCTGAATGATCAAGGCCTGGGCACTATTTGGCCGCATGGGTTTTACCTTCCCTCTGCACCAGGCCTCCCACTCTGGCCTTGGAGACACTTGTGTTTACAACCATACAGCCTCCTGCCTCAACTCATAGCCAGCCCCACCCAGGGCAGTCACTGAGGAGTCTGTCTAGCTTAATGCCCTAATTGGGGACAGACACCCTAGGAGGGCTGTGACCGCACCCCCTTCTACTCACATTGCCTACATATACGGATCTGTGGTCAGCCTCCACATTTTCCTTGGAGATACCAGGGAAGAAGCAGCCTGTAGGGAGAGAACCTCAGAAATAGCAGGAGGACCTCCTCGGGGAGCCCATTCCTGATGACCCCAGGGAAGGTCACCTTGTAGATGGTGTGTGTGATCTAGAATGTTCCCTCGGTAGTCCTCATATGGAGCCCATGCCAAGTACTTTTCCATTGAAAGCAGCTGGATTTAGAGTCTTAGCTCAATAGTCAAGGATTTAGAAGGACAGTTGTCTATCTGTCCTCTGGGCACAGGGTCAGCAAGGGTCCCAGGTTCCTACCTATGGTCTCAGGGCTCAGCAGCTGTCTGACCTCAGCCCTCTCTTCCTCTGTGGCCTTTTTCTCTACACAGGCTGACTCCTGCAGGGCCTCAGCTTGCTCCATGGTCCACAGCTTCAGCTTGATGGCCTCCAACTCCTGTTGGCCACCCCACAGTAAGCCTGAGGTGTCCTGCAGGCCCCTCTAGAATGGAGGGCAGGTATGGCCAGCCAGCCCCAGCAGAAAGTCATAGCTATTAGGGGACAGCCTAGACCACCCTGTTCTTCCTGTAGCCATAGCCCAGGACTAGGAGCTAAGGCCCCAGAAGCCCGACACCTCTTCCGCCCAAGATCCCTCCCCCTAGTCAGAGAGGCCCCTGTGGTCTGCAGCACTGGTCCCTTCACCTTCTACTCAGCTGTGCCCTTCACTCCATGCCCAGGGCCACACCTTCCTCCACGGTTTGTGACGGGGTGCTACCTGGTTGTATACTGGGGACTTGGCCAGATTCTCTGGCTCCAGCAGGGAGAGCAGGAAGCCCGCATCTTCATTTTCCTCTGCTTCCTTGTCACTTCCTGCTGTACTTCCAGCCCTTGGCACCAAAGAGGTCTTTTCAGTCCTGTCCCAGGCCCCCCAACCTTGGGCCTCGGGATCTGAGGAGACGGTCTGGAGCCAGGCTTCCGTGGGGGGCGGGAAGAGCTCACTGCACAGGTGAGGCCACATGGGTATGCGAGGAGGGCGGGCCGGGTGAACCGTGGCTCTTCTGGTCTGCTCACCTCCACAGCTGCCTCTGCCCCTTGGCTCTCCCTTTTAAGTCCTCCCCCGACCAGGTGCTCTCACTAAAGCACTAAAAATTAAGAAGGCCTCCCAGCTTGGGCTAGGCTACTGACCAGAGGGATCAAAGGTTGTAGATCTCGTTTCTGTCTTCCTCACCAGCTGCATCCCCGAAACACTCAGGGAAAGGTGGGCGAGTCCAAAGCAGGATGGGCAGGACCTTACTCATAGGAGCGTGGCTACACTGTTAGCTCCCCGGAGTCTGCCTGTCCTATGGTACATGCTGGGTGCCCTGACCACAGCTCTGACAATAAACCTGACCGATAATCAGATCTTGTTCAAGTTACCTAATTGTCCTATGAAAAGGACGGATTTCAGGGAGAGGTGGCACTGTGGATGTCTGGTTACACTGGGTCAGTTTGAGCAAGCCCCCACTCCCGCCCCCACCCCCATCTCCCGGCAAGCTAAGAGCTCAGGCCTAGGCTCATCCAGGGCAGAGGTCCATATTCTACCCTCGAGTTTCTCAAAGATCCTTTCCTTGCCGTCTCCAGTCAGGGAACCTTTCAGATGGGAGCCCATTAAACCCAGGCACTAGATGGTTCCTGTTGCCACAAGGACGGCTCGGGCTGAGCTGTACAAATTGGGTGACAGCTACTTGGCAGTGCAGGCAGGTACAGCAGTTTCCAGCCCTGTTCAGTTGTTGCTTCTCTGCCCTCAACTCCCAGGACCACTGCTGGCCAGCCTACAACCATTGACTCCTTTTTGGGGGGTTCCAGCAGAGGTGGGGAGGGGGAGATCTAGAAGCGTATTGGTGGCTTTTGGCTAGACATGGGCACTGATGCTTCTTGAGGCTACTCTGTCAAGCCTCAGGGTCAGCTGTGTGTGTTAACATGACCTTAAGAAGCCTCCACAGGGAATTTCAGGTGACTCCATATCCTCGTGTCCACAGTTACACTTTCGTGACCCTGATCCCAGGCTAGGCAATGGAGTCTCTCTGAGAATCTGGGCTCGGGTAGAAGATGAGTTTAGATTAGCTGCATTGTAAGTGAAGTCTGGTGGCTGACACCTGCCACATCCTGGGGTTGGCAGGTCGAGGTGGGAGCAGTTGTGGCTGGTGCAGCCCTGGGAAAATGTAGGCTTCTGACCCTAGCCTGACTCCTCATGTACCTGTTCTATTCTCCAAAGTGGCTGAAAACTGTATCACGCTTCATGTGATGGTTCATGCTTATACTCAGTACTGGGGCAGGAAGGTCACAAGTTCAAGGCCAGCTTGGGATCCAGAGTGAGGCCCTGTCATAAACAACTCAATAATAATAAAAACTGGTATGGGTTCTATCCCTCATAAAGGAAGGACGCTGTGGCATAGTCACGTGACCTGAGTAGAGCCTAGTCACATGACCTGAGATGTAGAAACTGAGTGGCCACTAGCCTCTCCCCAGCCGCTTAAGTTATTTCCTTAAGTCTTTCCTGGTAGACCAGAGCTGCTCTGGGGCACCATCCACGTCTACACAGAGAACAAGCTGGTGGCACAGGATAGGCTGGACAGGAATAGACATGTGGCCACTGCTGTCCTCCTGCATGTCCTCCATCTCTCTGTATGAAGCTCTGTTGGGGTCCAGCCTGGATCTTTCCTGTACTTCCATGTGGAAGGTGGGACATGGCAGGCTGTTTCCAGCCCAAGACTATCTGGATGGAGCTCAGGCTCTGGCCAGTCTCAGCTCTGAGCTCAGTGTCTGCAGTGGAAAAAGCTTGTCACCCTCCTCCTCTCCGTGCTATCCTGAGATCGCTGACACACCAGGCCCAGTGGGGCTCCAGCCAGGCGCCTGGCCTAGGGACAGCTTACCCCGATGCTGGCCTTCCCAACAATGCCTTCAAAAATACACCATGTTCCAAGCTGGGACAGTATTAATGACAGCTACTGGTGCAGCCTGAAGCATTATGGCCGGTGTCTGGTTCTAGAGGGGCTCCCCTTTAGCTAGGACACAGCTGCCATAGGAGCAGACTGAGAGAAGGGTCTTTCTGCTGATCTACCCTGAGGCTCTCAGTGTCCCCTCAGGTCTTAAGTGTCCCTTCAGTGTTCCCTCAGACCCAGTGTCCCCACCAGGCCGGCAGTGTCCCTCAAGCCTTTGCTGTTTTTCTCAGCCAGGTCTCACCATCTCCCTCATGTGGACAGCTCAAAGAACTTGGCCCCAGTGGTAAGGTATAGGTCAGTCCCTTGAAACGCAGGGCCATTTTGAGGGTCCAAGATTTTCCCGAACTCCCTAAGGATAAGGTCCAAGATGGACCCTTCTTGCCAAGCATATAGCAGCAGCACAAGAACTTGAAGTTCCCCTCCTTTGTCTGCCCCAAGTCTTCTCTGGTACAACCAAACACCACGACGACCCTTGTCTGTGCACCGGGTCTTTGAACATGGTGGTCTGGTGTGCTGTGCGCAATGACCTGGAGGAGCAACAGAGCAATCATAGCAAACGCTTACTTTATTACACAGATGTAATTAACCTGATCACCGCATCCGTGGCCCACAGGGCAAACATATACGACAGCAGTAGATAGCAGTAGGTGGCGGGTCACAGCACCCAGACGTGCAGGGCTGTGAACACAGCTTTTCATGAACAAAACATCCAGTACTCCCCTCCCATCTCCTGTAGGGGGATAGGCAGTGGCTCCCCCGACAGGCTGTGTGCTTCTGTGCTCACCCGAGCTATGGTGTGAGCTGAGGGCTGCTGGGCCTCCTGTCTGGGTTGGGGGCAGGAGGATGTGATGAGCGAGCCATACTTTGAGTCAGATGCTGCATTCCTATTTCCTAGTCTGGGTTGTTACCCTAAGGTCCAGCTAAATTGAAGGAAAAGGAACAGAACACAAGACAGAATTTTCTAGAATTTGGAGACTCATGTGAGTTGTTGGTTGACTGTCCTGGGCTTCGTCTGTGAGCTGTCTCCAGGAATAGACGGTTCCCCTGAGCCCAGCTCGCCTCAGGTTTCTCTCCCTATCTTCTCTTTCTCTTCCTCTTGCCAGCATGAGGCTAACCCAGGGGTCTCTCCCCAGCCTCATTTCAGAAACTTCCCTACATAGTAGGAGCTTCAGGAAGAGCAATGAGTTACCAGGGGAGTTTGGGGATGGCCCCAAACTCCCAGCAAATACTCCTTACCATAGTGGACTTAGTAGGGGCAGACTGGACAGGTCCAACTCTGAGCCCCTTGGATCGTAACAGGGAAGATGGGAATAGTGTACAAGTGTCCTGGGGCACAGGAGGATGAGAGCACTCCTGTCTCAAAGGAGGCCAGCCCTGGCTTGCTCTTCTCTTCAGAGATCCCTCTTCTGGACAGACTCCTGGAAACAAGGACTGCCCTACTTTCAGGGAATATGGCTGCCTAACACAGCCTTCCAGAGCTTGTAAGCAGGTGTACAGATCCACTCTCAGCACAGTTCTTGTTCCCTTCTCTCCCCAAGCAGCTCCAGATGTGTCACAGCTGCCAGAAGAACATGTACAACCTGTCCATAATGCCTATGGCAAGAACTCATATCTCTGGAGGTGTCTGGATGCCATGGAGGGGCAGTGCTGGAGGTAGGGGAGTGGGATATTGGATGCTGCCTCATGGGTAGGTATTCCTAGAGCAGCCCTGGCTAGTTTAGGGCAAGCAGAGAGAAGGAGCATGGGAGGACCTGGTGTCTTTGGTACACTGAGGGGGCTGATGCAACTCTGAGTACTGATAGAGATGACAGGGAACATGGGTGTGGGGATGGTGTGTGCGTGGGGCTGGGAAGCATTTGGATGTAAGGATGGTATGTTGGGATGGTAGGGTGGAGGGACAGTTTGGATGGCACAATAGACAGGTAGACAGGTGGATTTGCTGATGGGTCAAGGTAGAGAGACGGGGTAGTTGGTCCAAAGGGCAGATGGAGGATGACAAATGGGCGGAGGCAAACGGGTTCACAGGGAGAAGGCTGTGTAAGTCAGAAGGACGAGCTCAGGAAAGCGTTGATCTGTCCGTGAGGTTAGGCTGAGGAGTGGAAGAGCGGACAGACGGATGCCAGGGATGGTACTTTGGTGTCAGCCTAATGATTTATTTGGAGAAACTAAATGAGGACTTTGGAGCCCATCCTGATCCCTGTCCACTGTGGCCTCAAGATAACACCGTCCACAGCCCTGCCTCCCATTCTTAGCCTTCTCCATCACCAGCGACCCTCTCAGATCTTCTGACAGATGTCCCTGTTGACTGAATCCATCTGGGCCCTCCTGTGGGGTCTGGCTCTTCTCACCTTGGCACCCCTGTTAGGCAGCGGGACCTGAGCTGTGGTATCATCTAGCCTGATCCTATACAGCTGTGAGAACCACTGGCCTCCGCTCCCCCGCAGATCTGACCACCATGCTGGAAAGAAGCGGTAGCCCTCAGGAAAAGGCCAGTCTGGGTTTGAGGCAGGGCTGGGAGAGACAGGATTTGTGCCAAGAATCCACAAGGTCATGAGATGGGATCTGGGCTGGGCCAGGGGGGATTTGAGAGCTCTGCCTGCTACCTGCCCTCCCCACTCAGCCTTCCTGGGTTAGCTTTGGCCACAGAACAGGAAGTAAAGTGGCATTTTGATTTGGAGTTTTGGGGGAGCAAGATTCTGTGAGAGCCACATCCCCTACGGGGTTTGGTTCATGTTTGGCTGTGGTTACCAGGAGGCAGGGTCTGGCAGTTAGTTGTTCCTGAGTCCACGGTTTGTAAACTAGAGAAGGTAGCAGGATTCAGGGATGGAGTACCGTGCTCTGCCCCAGGCAGACTGTAGGTTGAAACCAAGGGTGGGCTGTGGTTATGGCCACCCAGGGTATACCTCCCAATAAAGAACACCCATGGGCCCTGTTCTCTCCAAAGTTCTGAGGTTGTTCGGTTTTGCTGTAAGGTCTTTGGGTAGCTGGAGTTTAAGCACAGTCCCTACAGCTTTGCCAGGGCCTTAGCGCCTGGCTTAGCAACCCTACCTTATCCTCCAACCCTGCTGCCTCAGGGGATACTGCCTTAGGTGAACTCATCAATACACCTGGGATTGTCGTCTGCTGCTTCCAGCCCCGTCTTCCTCACCTAACCCGTCACAGCCCCATCTCACTGCTACCCTGACTCTGCAGTTGCCTTGACTCCTGACCTCTGCCCAGCAGATTGCCAGGCTCTCACCCTTGATGTTTACAATTGCTGGCCAAATCTCACGCACTAGAGACGCACAGTGGTTGAATGCCATCAGACAGCTGCCTTGAGGGGCTATTGCTCCCAAAAGCTAGGGTATAGACATTATAGGGTATAAGGTATAGATGGGGGTCTCTGCTGAACCCTAAATTTGTAGCCTGGTTCATGGAGAGGAATTTGGCTGGGCAGCATTTGTTGTCTGTGGGGGGCCCTCTTGTTTCTAAAAGGTGGGTAAGGCTGGTAAGGGTAGGAAAGGCAGTATCTGAACTAAAGCAAACTGGTGGCCCTCTGAGACCTGCCTCAGAATGGCTGGACCACATAGGAGCAGGGACTCTCTGAAGTCCTATCGCCAGAGACATAGGTCATCAGGGATGCCACTTCAGGACTCCTGGCTCAGACCTCTAGAGACTACAGCTCTTAAGCACAACCTGAGTGCCTAACTTTGTTGTCCCCTCCACTCCCCGCAAACGTGGTGCTCACCACCCCGTCACCCAGAACTCATTCCTACCAGTGGTCACTGGCCTGCCCTCCTGGAAGGGCCAGGATGCTGTGTGCTGTGGGGTAGCAGAGACAAGAAGCACCACATGGGGTGTAGTTGGGAATGGAATCCAGCGATGCTCCTTGTGACGGGAGGCAGGTCTCTACACAGCACACAGACCCAGTGTTCGCAGGCAGATGCTCAGGAGGACTGGTCCACTAGAAGGAAGGGCAGGAGGCCGCCATGTGTCCTGGCTTCTCTGAAACCCACAAAAATACATCTCTGTGGCCTTGGAGGGCAAGGCCTCAGGAACCTTCCAGGGAATGAGATCTACCTCGGCCTTCAGAGCAAGGGTTGCTGTCAGGCTCCATTCCAGGGTAGCACCAGCTTGATGGTGCCTAACAGGATCCTTCCATAGAATGTTCTGTTAAAGAATGATTATACAGTTGTGAAGAAATACCAGCCACCAAACAAGCCCATAGGACCACAGCTCAGATTCCTTTCAAAGTGTTTCCTAAATTTCACATACTTCTGTGGTTTGTCTTAATTTCTTTTTATTTGGCAAACATCTCCTCGGTACTGATGCCATGGTTGGGACCTCTGTGGAGAGTATGTACATTCACATTAACACACGCTGCACACCTTGCTCTGGGCAGGGCCCCCTGGGCCCAGGAGCAAGCCCCCATATTGCACACTAGGCCTGCAGCTTGCTGCAGCCACTACAGAGGTGCAGACCTGGACTGTGTCTGCTGTCTCTTTTTGTTTGGTACAGGCATGAGCCTTCTTCCTTCATTTCCTCCTTGAATCCTTGAGGGAGTCGAGCGGGTGGAGGACAGGGTGGGCAAGGGCTGGAGTGTAGGTGAGTAAGCATCACTGTCACCCCCATGGCTGGAGACCAACACTCGGTTTGCAACACGGGGATATGTACAGCTGGGCTTGAGTCTTCCAGGTGAGGTGTGGGTGCGGGTGGCTGCTGGCTTTTTTTTTTCCTTTTTTCTTTTTTTTCTGTAAAAGTTTGAAAGAAATGAGGGTAGCCACAGCAAGACACTGGGGGTGGGGTGACAGGGCCGAGATGGAGGTAGGGTGGGATGAAAGAGCAGAGAGGTAGAGAAGGGAAAACCGAGAGAGCGTGATTCGCTGTCTCCTTATGCTCTCAAAAGCAGTCAAGAATCAACCCAAAAGATTGTCACAGTTTCATTTAGGAATTGTGCTCTCTCTGGGAAGAACACTTTAGCACTTTTTTTTTTTCACAAGTGGAAATGACTTATGAGAAGCCCCAGGAAGGCGTGGGAACAGATGGAGGTGTCTCCCTTAAGTGTAGGGACCCATGGACACACCGATCAGGCTCATGCTGACTGGGGATTCTGGATGTGCTGCTGAGGGTCATGTGACCTTGCTGCCGACCGCTTTGCCCAGCAAGGATGCTGCCCGCTAGTCAAACAGGAACAAAAGGTTTCCTCTTGGCCCAACCCACCAAATCCCAGTATCCCAACACCCCCTGACGGAAATCAAAACCAAAACCAAAGACTGACATCCAAACCAACCCAGGGTGGAGAGACCATGAAGAAAGTACTTTGGCAGTGATAAAAAATAAATTTTGGATTTTGATTTCTTGAGTTTGCTTTTTGGGTTTCCTTTGGAGCGAGGTGTGTCTGGCATCCTTGGCTGGCTAGCTGGCAAGGTAGTTTACAGGTATGTTTCCTTTGCTTTTTAAAAAAAAACCTTTTTGGATTTTTTTCTTCTTCTTCTTCATTTTTTTTTCACTTAAAGCCAAAGAGTTTGACATTAAAGAAATGAAATAAAACCTGAAACAAAAACTGCTTCTTGAGTTGGAAATCGAAATTGTTCTTATCATCCTCTGCTGTGTGTATGTGCCGATCCCCCGGGGCTGGCTGGGTGATACAGCAACTCTGGATAGAAAAAAATCACAGTTTCTTCCCTTACTCATGAGGAATGGGGAGAACCCCACAGTCGTCTTTGTCCATTTCTAAGTAGCTTGTTTGCCAACAAAACAAAACAAAATCTCCAAAAGTTCTTCATGGAAAATAAAAGCTACCAGTTAGGTTTCTCTGACGTCAGAGAAATCACGTGGACTGCACAGAGACAGAGACACAGGAGAGTCAGGGAAACAGAAGGAGATGAAGACATCAAGAGACACACAGAGAGAGGCAGACACAGAAAGATACACAGTCACAGAGAGACAGACACAGAGGGGACAGACAGCGGCGGAGCTGGCCACACTCCCGCTGGTGCCACTGTCTGCAACTCTGCGGTGCTTTCTGAGGGTGCTTGCGGAGAGAGGCTGTGGAGGTCCTGGCAGACCTTGTCAGGTAGCTGGGGGCTGCATGGATGCAGTTTTGTTGGATCTGTGTTTTCTTTTGGAGAGAAGCAGTAGCAGCAGCGGCTCCACACGGCCAGCTCCAGGCAACTGGTGGGCCACGGTGGGGCCAGGAGGTTGGCAGGGCATGGCGTCCATGGGCTGGGTGTCAGATCTGGAGGTCAGCGGGGCACAGCAGCATCCAGTGGGCCCGGTGGGCCCGGAGAGCAGGGACGAGAGGGCCCTGCTGAACCGGCTTCACTGGGGCTGGCAGTGGCGTCAGGCTGTCCAGGCAGTGGGTCTGCCACTGCAGCTGCGGGACCCTGCAGACTCTGGCCACACACATGATGGTGTTTCTCCCAGTCCTTGTGCTGACAGAAGGACCCGCAGTAGCGTGCGGCGTTACAGCCACTACAAGTCTCGCTGGCCTTGCGTCCGCAGTTCCAGCAGCTCTGGGTGTGGAGGAGGGCAAAGGAGACGGTCAGAACAGGGCTGTCCCCACGTGCCCAGAAAACCTGCCCACTGATGAAAAGGAGTGTGTGCATGCGTGTGTGCTTGCGTGTTCATGTGCGGGTGTCTATGTTTTGCAGGGGAGAGCTATGCGTCCACCCCCAGCTGCAAAAAAAAATAACTCAAGGCCCCTAGAGGTAACTGAGCTGTCCAGCAGTCCCTTTGGGAGGAGAGGTGGCCATGGACCAGAATTCCCTTTTCTGACTGTATTTCTCTGAGGGGATGGCTGGAGATCCCTGGAAGGTGGCAGGGCCATGGAACTGGGAGGCTGTCCCTGCTTCAGGAGTCAAAGCCTACTGCTTGTCCCTAGTTGGCTTCTGAAGTCTCTGCCCTCCTCACTGCCGGCTGACCTCACCTGCTCCACTCACATAGGCCTTGCTGGCCTCTCCATCAGGAGGGCTCTTTGTGCGCCTTCCCCGGATGTCACATTTAGTGAGGTGCTATCCTCACCTCCAAATACCCAACACTCTGGTTGGTTCTTTGCCCATCTCATGACAGCTCCGAGATCCTGTATGTGTATGTTTGTGTGCACGAGCACATGAGTGTGTGGGTACATATATGCATGCAGGTAGAGGCCGGAAGACAATATCTGATATTATTCCTGAGCAGCGTCAACCTTATTTTAAGACAGGGTCTCTCATTGGCTAATCACCTGGGCTAATATGGTGGACCAGTGGGCTCTAAGATCTACCTGGCTTTGTTTCTCCAGTGTCGGAGACCTGGCCCTTCTTAAAGGGCATCCTACCAATGACTTCCCCAGAAGAGCTTCTCCTTTTCCTTTGATGTCCTTCCGACCAAACTTTGGGAGCAGAGGGAAGTCTTCAGAAAGTCTTCCTTCACCCACCCTGCTGGATGGAGCCCAGTGCTCAGACATCGGGTGCACAAGGTCAGCTCCCCTGACTTTCTTCTTCCTGGTCATTGAGCCATTTACCAGCATGCCAGAAGCTAAGGCAGGAGGCCCTGAGGTCCTGAAAAGTCTCTTAAACCTCTTGCTTTCACAAGTTAAAGGACAGAGGGTTTGACATCAACTAGTTTCAGTGTAATATGAGGCTCATCATGTGTCTGTCGGACTCCACACAAACCATTCAACTCTAGACCTTCAGTTACTGCTCCTGCAGGTTGGGAAGGCCTTACCAGGCCTCACATATATTTACTGACAGTCAGAGCTGAACAGGCTGCACGCTCGCTTGTGGCACCTGTGACAGTCATGGCCACTGAGAGCAGAGAGCTCGTGAGGCCTCGAGGTTGTACAAGTATGGTGTTCCAACCCAGGTTTGGTCACTCTACAGTGTAGCTGGAGGCTGGTGGGCCTACCTCACTGGAGTCCTCTTGCTGGTTGATGACAGTCAGGGCATCCTCTGAGGCCTGTCGCTTGGCCTCAGCCAGGGCTCGTTCCATCTTGGCACGCTCCGTGGTGATGAGTTCATGGGCTTTGCGCTCCGCATCCGACACGGCTTTCTGTAGTTCTGACATCGCCTGACGCTTCACCTCATTCACAGCCTCTTCTGTGAAGCACACACGTAGGGTGATGGTCACACAATAGTCACCCAGGCTGGCTTCCCTGGAGTTCTGAACCCTCTACACTCGTGATTTGGGTAGAAGCCTAAATGCAGTTATGTGCACACATGCCTACCACACATTTCGTATGTGCACACAAAGGCACAAGTCAATGACTCCACTCCTTTGCTGAGAGGTATGTGGGTGAATGTGTGAGTCCTGGGCACACATGTGCAACCCTGGTCACAAGGAATAGAGCCATGGGCAAACTTTCCAAAGTTCAACCTCCACCTGCCAGCATCATGGTTCTTACTCTGATGTGCATCTTCAGAGAGTGAGGACCAGACCTACCCACAGTATGGTCTAGCAGCTTCTGGTAGTGTCCAGGATTCTGTTCTAACAGGCTTCAGGCAAGTCATTGCTGTGAGGGACCTGCTTTGAGAACAACAGGTCTGTTCTTTGGCTTTGCTTGAGCCTACTTATCCACAGGGAGCCAGAAGTACACTATGTGAACCCTGGCGTAAATACCTGTAAATACCTGATTCATATTCTCTCTCTCTCTCATTCTGTGTGTGTGTCCGCGCGTGCACATGCGCATGAACATGCATTTTGTATATACTCCCGTGTGTGGCCCAATGTGTAAATCCCAAATTTGCTGTGTGTGTGTGGAGACCATCTGAGTCACAGACACTTCTTACGGTTGTTCCCAGGGTCTGTCCGACTCACCGGCCTTCCTCCAGATCTCTTCAGGCATATAGCCAGACAGGGTTCTGGGTGTGAAGTCCCGGTGAATGTCTGAAATAAGGGGACAGGGTACAGTGTCATACACAAGGTGTGGCTATCAGTTGCCTTCTTCCATACTGGGTTTCCTTCTACTTTGGCCAGGGTTTGAAGGCAAGAAGTATTTATTCCCCTGGGAAAGAGGGCTTCCCATGCCTCCAGGAGAATGGGGGGATTCGAGTGGCATACTCTACAGTGAACATGGATTCAGGCTGGGATCTGGGCATGTCCTGGATCCCCCCCCCCATCTCTGTGGTCACCGCTATGATGGATGGGTAAACAGAAGCTTCTAGGTGCCTCTTCCTAAGCTTGGCCTGTACCTACCAGAATCTGGGAGGTCCAGGCTCCCTAGCAGACCAGGTATATCTTTCTGCCATGGGAAAGACCCCTCCCCTTTCCAAGTGAAGCTCTCTGTTTAAGTAAGGACTGAGTGTTGGCTACCTTTCTGGGGAATTAGTGGCAGAGACTGTGTGGGGATAGCAACCTCTCACTACAGGTCCTCCATGTTCTTCCTTGGTACACACCTAGCTGAGACCCCTCAGGGCCACTGCAGCTGTTGAGGGACCGGGCAGAGATGGGGGTGGGGCCCTTCTTTCCCTCCTCAGAGTCACTGTAGCACCGGATCCAGTGGTTGAGTTCCTCACGGTCGGCCTCCTGGCACCGGCGCAGCACAGTGAGGGACCGCCGTGTCTTCTCCACCATGTCCATGATGCAGTTCAGGAGCTGCAGGCGGGTGGCAGGGCCTTCAGTACGTTGGAACCGGGGCTGTGGCCAGATGTGGCCATCCAATATGGAGGGGGTGGTCAGGGAGCCAGCTCATCATCCCTGAAGGCGGGGCACAGAAATCTACCGTGGCTCCCCACAAGCAGCGAAATGACTCCCAGTGCCTGTCGGCACCCAGTTTGAATGGGAGCTTCTTTGGATGCAGGGTAGGGGCTTGGGGTGTTTCCTTTGAAACTCTGAAAGCAATCTGCCTTGGGAACATTGCCAAGAAAGGTGCATCGGGAGGCAGAGGAATGGAGGTTCTTGGGAACATCAAAACATGGTCCACCTGGCCTGACCAGAGGCTCAGGCACCTACCACAAAGATGTCTTACATGACCGGGGCTCTACTCTGCAAGTGTCTGAGAAGGAAATAGTAGAGGAGGAAGATCCTGTGTGCATAGTTCAGGGTCCTTGTTTTTACTCGTTGGCAGCATCCTGATAGGCCAGCAATGGACAATGATGCTCACACCAAAGGGTGGGCAGCCAGTAGGCATGCCAGAAGTTCTTGCCAGGAGATGCTGAACCCAGAGGAGCCCAAACTCAGTGTGGGTCACCACCCCCCTCCAGCCTTAGGCTCCAGAGTCGTGTAGACATTCTGAGAGTCACAAGGGCCTGGCAACCCCACCTGGGCACTCACACTGTTGAGGTGTTTCCACTCTTCCGCCCACTCACGTTCCGTGAGCCTGTGGTCAATCACTTCTTCCTGTCGAGACCCAGGTATGGCTGCGGATGCAGAAAGGGCGATGCACAGTTAGGCCCCATGCAGATGCCAAGTCCTAGCCTGGCCCATAACCAAGCCCTGACTTGGATCTCAGGCCCTGCCCCTACTCCCAGGTGCCTCCTATTTCCTATACCAGGGGGTCACCTCAGTTCTGCCTCAGTGACTCATTGCCTCCCACGAACCTAACCCAGCTCCTCCCCCTTTGCCCATTTCTGATTGGCAGCTCTAGCTGCACTTTAGAGGTCTCTCTTATTATGGCCCAGAAACCTCAGGGCCTCTGTGCAGCTGCTCGACTTATGTGTGTTTATGACTTCCTCTCAGATATCTGTACTCCTATGCATTCCCAAAAGTCCACGCCACAGGGCCCCTCCACAGCTGCAGTCTTTGGAATTCTTCAGGCCATGTGTGTCTCTGGTCTCTAGGTACAAGATCTCCCTGTTTTTCCTACTACCCTCACTCCTAGACTGTCAGCTCCATGGAGAAAGATGGCGTGTTGTGTTTACCTCTGTGTCCCAGGTTGAACTCTGACCTGGGTGTTTAACAGCCCCAAGTGTGGTCTTGGGATCAGATCTACGGGCAGCAGGATCAAAGCAGTAATACAGGATGGCTCATCCACCGTGGGATCCTGGGGCCTTTATCTTGCCACTCCCTGCCTCAGTTTCCCAACCCTGCCTAGCTCTTGCATAGTAAGTAGTTAGAAAGAAAAGCCCCAAGCTGACCTGGTAAACGTGAGGGGTGTCCCCAAGCAGTGCTTGGTGCTAACCACTGTTCCTTTCTCTCTGTCTTGACCTTGCAGGGAAGGTCCATTTCCCCATACGACAGATGAGGAAACTGAGGCTGGTGAATGATCATGTCTGTCCATAGTTACCAGGCAGAAAATGGAGGAGGTGGTGTTGGGTATAAGGCAAGTCTGGATCTGTAACCTTGGGAATGACCAAATGGGGGTGGGGTGGAGTGGGGTGGGGTGTGGGCTGCCATTGGCTGGGGCATGAGGGACATGATGGCCTTGTCTTGGTTTTCCTGCAGTGTCAAATGCTTCCAGTGTCATAACTAAGGCTGTGCAGGTGACCTGGCACCAACCCAGACTTCCTGGGGCAAAGCCTCTCTTTTAAGCAGCCATCAGCATCTGAGGACCTCCTTCTACCCTAACCTGAAATGCCTCCCTCGAGTTGCAGAAGAGCAGGGAGTGGCCACAGCCATCCTCCAGCATCCTCTCTGGCTGCCCACGAGGGGCCCGTGCCAACGCCCAAACTAAAATAGAGGCTGAGATAGATCTGTGCGACAGCTGGCGTTTATTTTTGCATTAGCAGAAGCGAGTGGGAATTAGCACCTGGCTGACCCGGCTGTGGCGAGCCAGACGCTGTCACCTGCTGCCTAGGACCAGGCCCTGGAAGCTTCCACAGGGAAGCCTCTGTTGACCCTGCTCTGGGACCCTATTGGTGTTCTGAGTGACCCTCGATAGTCATTTCTAACATTACGTCCCAACACACTGGGGTGTGGCAGGGGTGGCCATCTCTGGGTTTCTGCAGAGGAGGTTTGGGGTAGGCAGGTGTTGTTGTGCCCACCCATGGCTGCCCCACATGTGCTCCCCGGGCCTCAGTTTCCTTTGAGTGGGTACAGACTGAGAAATGACCGAATGCAGGTTCAGTTGCATGTGCTCTGTGTCAGCTGCTGCCCTTGTCATCGGTGGCTGGGCCTTGGGACGGAGTGTATGCCAGGTGCTCTGTCAATACTCTGTCCATACATAATCCCTGTTCTGACCAAGGAAGAAACCGAGGCACAGAGAGGTCACGTGGCCCACTTGAGGGTCACTTCTGAATTCAAGATCCTGTTGGTCATCTTACCCTCAGCTACTCTGGCTTCAGGCTACCCAGGGCAGGAGGGTGTCCCTAGGATAGGGTCCTCTGCTGCAGTGCTATTCAGTGTGTGAGGAGAGGTGACTTGTCTCTGGAGGGGCAAACCAGGCTACACAGGTCCTGGGGTAGCTACTGGTTCCTTATACCCGTTTCCTTACTGGACACCTGAGGTGGTGCTGACAGCTTCAGCGTCTTCTACTAAAGCATAGGTACAAGTAGCTGACTGAACCTCTCAGACTCTGACAACAAGCACGTGCAGGCATATACACGGGCGCAAGCTCACAGACACACAGGTTCATACGCCGTGTTCAGACCTCGACACTCTCACACCGATTACCGAGGGGCCGATGGCGTTCCCGTAGCTCCCGGGGATCAGGATGTCGGTAGGAGTCCCGGAAGTGGTGGGCCATGGCCATGTCCTCCAGGCGATAGTGTGGGGGTGGGGGTGGCGTAGGATGGGGCAGCCCGTTGCTAGGGCTGCAGCGCTGGGCAGGGCTCAGGGTGCAGGACCTCTTACTGAGGTGGTCCGGGTGCAGAGGGTCCCGGTCTGACCCATTCTCTTTGGTCCTGACCAAGAAAACAGGTGGCCAATGGACATCAGCCCCAATCTTGGATACAGGATAATGGAGATGAGGGGAGACAGACAGGGCGGAGGCAGAAACTCAGAGGAGCCCCACTGGGTTCTGGTCCCCCGCTTTGACCTCCTCTGGGGCTCCTGGTGAAGAATGGATAGAGGGAGACACCCAGGGTCCCATGGCCAGGTGTGGTCCCCACTGTGATATACTGGTAGGACCAGTGTGGCCAGTCAAGGGGTCCAGTCCAGTCCAGCCACCATAGGACTTAGACTCCAGGTCACTCTGGGCTTACAGACAGCACAGAGAAAAGTGAGTTCTGGTGGATAGACCTCCCTCCCTGATCTGCTGTCCTCCAAGGATCCCAGAGGCCCCTGGGGTCCTTAGCTAATTGAACAGCATATGCTGTGGAATCCAGTATTGCCCGCACACTAGCCTGTCCCTGCAACATGCAGCGGGGTTAGCCGCACTTGATCAGTCCCGTTACAGACAACAGACGGGACCAGCTGTCTGGCAGAGCTGCGTCAGGGGCAGATGGGCAGGAAGAGGCCACCTTGGGTCAGCCCTCTCTTTCCTGTGGGTTTGTGAGAGGCTGGTACCTGTCAGGTGTTCTCCGCTTGCCATTCTCATTGACTTCCAGCAGGAGCTCGGACGAGTCGACAGGGGAGGTGGCGCTGGCATCCAGCAGCAGTTGTTCGTGCTGGGCCAGGTACTGGGCGGGTGTCTGCTTGGCCAGGCGGGCACAGTGCAGGAGCTCGCGCTGTAGCAGCGGAAGATTAGCCTGTGGGCAGGACAGGGGCTTTAGGCACAGCTGACTGGCAGCTGGGAAGCAAATCCACAGAGCCTGTTTGTAGCAGACAGCCCGGAGCTGCCTGTGTGTGTGTGTGACTCAGGGCTACTCTGGGTCCCTTAGGTCCCTTTTTTCCTTCCAATAGCACAGTGGGAAGTGACAGGCCTGTACCCTGCTGGATACACAGCAATGTAGGGACTTTGCTATCTCCTAGAGTGCTGTCTGCAGCCAATATTCCCTATCTGTACCCCGTCTAAGCAGGCACTGTATCATCCTTGGCACGGAGAAAAGCGAGCAAGGTTCAGAGGGGGCAGGCATGCATGAGCGGGGAGGGGGAGGAGTTGGGGAGGGGAAGGGGAGCTGTAATTGAGGTACTGTGTTGCTACTGGGTCTCTGCTCTGGGTTGCACTGGCCAGAAGCCCCATAGCCCCAGCGCCTCTCTGCACGCACGGCCTCTCACTTTCCAGTCTCAGCCCTGAACAAAGCTCACTGCTGGAACTTGGGACATCAGCATATAAGGAACACGACCTTCATGAACTCAGGCCTCAGCCATGACATCACAGCTACAGTCTGTATTTGCAGATGAAGCCACCTGAGCTCACAGACGCCATCTCTGTGAGCTTCTCTCTAGTGCTGGGCTAGGGTCTCCAGGCATGCACTGCTGGTGGTCAGCCTTTCCAGAGCTGCTGTGGGTAGAGGAGCAGGCTGACCCTCAGCATGCTGGACAGGGGCCCAGTGGCAGGCTCTTGGGAGAGCCAGCAGTTCTAAGTATTTGTAAATAAACACAATCTACAACTTTCCCATGCATTTCAAAGCTGCCAGGGCAGCCTTCTCCAGCCTCCGCCTCCTCTGTTGGCTCATCCACCGGGCCCATCAGGCAGCCGATGTGTTTTTTGTTGAGCAGTATGGCTGCCAGGCCTGTTTTTCTGTTTGGATAGCTGAACAGGGGCCAGCCCACCATCTGCCGACCACGTCAGAAGCATGAGCTGGGATGAGGTCCTGGGAGGTCTCAGTAGTCCAGAGTCTTTTCCCTCATCAGCCCCCACCCTCTCCTTGGCCCGCACGGTGGGGCGGGGGCTGCCCATGAGCGCCATCTGGTTGCTGTTTGAGTGGGGGAACATCTGGGGTCCTGGCCAGCTGGGGCCAGCTGGGAGCTAGAGCCTTGGGTGAGGTGGCTTCTGTAAAGCTTCAGTGTCCAGCTACATGGAAGTGTGCGTGGGATCAGAGTGGGGGGGCCCTAGGATCAGGTAGCCCCGCCGTATAGTCCAGATTCATGGCAGGCCTTGGCTGTGGGTACAGGACCACTTCTCAAGTCCAGAAAGAACAAGTCTCCATTCTTTTTCAGAAGTCCCAGGCATCATTCAGAGGTCACACCAAGCTGGTCACAGGGTGGTCTGGGCCCTAACTTCACTTGGCATGGAGATTTTGATGCCTAGAAAAAAAAATCTAGCCATCTTTGTCCTGGATGGGACTCTGGTGAATGATACATAGCACACACATTGAACCACCAGGGTGACAGCTCAGCCCTGAGTTTCTGTGATACTTCGCCTTGCTCTACAGAGCCTCTCCACCACAGGCTGCTCAATGAGATTTGGTTGTGTGGTCTTGGGAAGGTCATACAAGCTCTTTTGATTCATCTGCAGATCAGAGCTCTGGAAGGCCTGGTGTGACAGACTCCAGTGAGGTCTGTGTGAGTGAACTCAACGCTTCCTATCATCTGTGTGGCAGACAGTTTTCTCTTACCTAGGGAAGGACTCAAGAGGCCCCCGCTGCTGGAGCCAGGCTCTGTGTAGCCACACCTTGCCCAGCCATCTCCAGAGGTAACCATGAAAAGAAACTAGAATCCAGGAACTCCCTAACTATCTAGGAAGGTGCTGTGATATCTCTCTTCCCTGCCAAGCAGGACTCCACCCATTGAGGGCAGGGAGGCACCTGGAGCTACCTGAGCCCTTCCTCTGGCTCGTCTGTTTCTAGACCACTGGGGCTGCTTGCCCTGCTATATGGGCAAAATAGCCACACCTCTTTGACAGGATAGAGTGGGCTCTGGCTGGTGTCTCGGCAACAAGGTCAGAAGTACTGGCTGAAGTCTTGTATCTTTAGGTTTGACCTTTGACACCTACTGCCCCTTCCATCCCAGGAGCTCCATGTCATGGAGACAGAAGTACCACCTAGTGTTGCTAACAATGTGACACAGAGGTCCTGGGTGAACTATGAAGTGGGCTAGTCCCCAAACAGCCAACTCGGGCACAGAGAAATGAAATGGAGGAGGTCCCTTGAGAAGGCAGAACTCGGTAAGGTGTTCCACCTAGTGCTTGCTTTAGGTGATCCTGCACTGGGTTAGGTAGGAAGGGTACTGAGGGTAGGGGCTACAGGAAGTGGAAGCTGGGATATTCCAGGCACAGATGGGGAGGCTAATGCTACAGAGCATCTGTTATGAACGTCGGCTCTGACAAAGTAAGCAGGCGCATGGCATCCCAAAGACAGGCGGCGGCAGAGTCGGCAGTATGTGGAGGGTGAGGAGAACAGGGCCTCCAACGCACACCAAATGACTGCCAGGTGGGCCTCCGCGCGGGCACCCGCAGCTTCTCTGTTGTCACTAGCTCCAGTGTGAGCCCAGCAAGGTGTGGGTGGGAGGAAGGAGGGAAGTGGATATGGGTGTCACGTGGGGTCCCGCTGTGAGCTGCCGGAGGGGATGAGGCTGGTAGGGCATGCGCTGTGAAAGTTGTGAAGACTCTGAAGTGTACAGACCCAAGCTTGAACCCAGCCTCGGGTCTCTAACAGCCAGGAAAGTGAAGCCTTCAGTTTTCCTGCCTATTAACTTGACAGTGTTGCGGCTGTATGTCCCCTTCCAGGGGTCAACAGGACATCTGTGCAGAGAGCTTTATAATCCATTCTTGGTCTAAACTGGGCAGCTTAAAAACTTACTGATGGAACTGCTCTGTGAGAATGGAGGACTCCAGCCTCGGGGCTGAGTGCAGAGATGCGGATCCAGTCAAGTGAACCCTGGGTAGCTCAGAGGGGGCTCACATCTTGGGAGCTCATCCCTTATATATAGCCTGACCTTGAACTCTGACTAAAGTAGAACACAGGCATGCAGAAGAATGAGCCGGGGCTCCGGTGTAGGTAGAGGTGGACGCCCTAAGGGGTGGGCAAGCTAGCATCTCCCTGAGAGGTCTAAGCAGAAAGTGATCACGTGACTAAACACATCTGGAAGCACACCACCCTCTCTCCTCTCAGAGTAGAGAGCTACAGTGAGTCACAGGCCCAACGTGAGGACCCGGACCATTCCCGAGCATCAGCACATAGACGACCAGATTTTAAAATACAGCTTCTCACTGAGCCTAGTAGTGGGCACCTGCAACCCCCCACTACTGGATGCAGAGGCAGGAGGATAGAGTTCAAGGCCAGCCCCGGGGAAATGTAGTGAGACCCTGCCTCAAAGTTCAAAAGGGCTAGAGCCGCTCAGTGATAGGATACCTGCCTAGCGTGGACGAGACTGTGTTCACCCCTCAGCGCCGACAAAACCAAACCAAACTGAAAGAGCCCACAAAACCCAACCAACCAAAAAAACCATGCAACCTCCATAAATAAACATGGCTCCTCATCCCGAGGGTTTGGGCTGGGGTGAGGAATATGCTTTGCTCAGCAGTTCTGGTCACTCTGCTAAAGGGAACCATCGTTTGTGAGGTCCCAGTCTTCACCCTCTGGACACTTACTTCCCTCACTGGGTTCCAGCCATACAGACAGTAGCTTTCCCGCCTTGCCCAGGATTTGTATACACCATCCCTGTTGCCTGGAGGGTGGTACCTTTGTTTACCTTCAGAAAGGGGATGACGAACGGCCTCAGTGGAAAGTTGGTGGCTTCTTGGAGCTTGGAATGAAACTCTTCGATCGTCAGAGTTGAATTCTGCAGAGAGACCGCCCATCTATAGGTTCCCGAGTACTACTGACCCAGATGCCCCACCCACACCTTGGGGAGGAGGAGGAGGTTCCAGGTCTGGCTTGATGGCTGGGCAGAGCATGATGGGGTTGTGGCCATCGTGAAGGAGCCTTCGGCAGAAGCTGTCACGGGGAACACGGGTGCCTCATAGCTCGTAGACTCACCACCAGCCCCAGCACCAGTGTGCGCACGCGTTCCCCGATCTCGGGTGAGATGTCACTGCCGAACTGCTGCAGGGTGGTGAGGAACCGCTTGAGCTTGCTGAGCTGCCGCGCCCCGCATGCCGGGGGCAGGTGCTGTGTAGACAGTGAGGCGGTGGATGAGGTGGCTGGCCCATTGCTGAAGCCATTGGGTGTAGACGGGGCACCGTGGATGGCTGTGGGTGAGTGGCTGCTGCCGTTCATCACTGTAGGAGAGCAGTGAGTGAGCAAGAGGGCACGGCATAACAACTGCACTTAGTTCTAAGTACACGTGGTGACAATGACAAGTGACCCAAATGGCAGTGACGATGATGGTGGCTGGTATACTACACTCTGTCTCTGCGACCACTCTGTGCTCGTGGGTGTTATACTCTTTTACAGATATGCAAACTGGTACCGGGAAGGTGACTCCCTTCACCTCAGGTACCCTAGCCAGGAGGGTGGTAGGGATCGCACACTGGAAATGGCTGTAGAGACAGACATTTGTGGGGCTGGCTTACACCGTCCCTGGGGGCTACCCTGAGCCTGTCCTTCAGGCTAGCTGATATTCTAGATCCTCCACACGCTCCAGATACCCAGCTCATCCTCCCAGACTGGCTCAGGTTTCCACTATGAGCAAGCAAGGGCTGTTTTCACCCATGGTGTGGGAAAGGAGAAGTCATCCTCATGACCCCAAGAAAAGGCTAGCAACTCCACCCCTACTCCATAGCCTCGAACAATACCTTCTACCCAATCTCTTTCCCAACTCCAAGCGATGTGCCCAGAGCCTCCCCAACCTTGAGAACCCTGAGCCTCTCCAACCCTGAGCAATGCCGTTGCCAGCAAGCAGATCCAATGCATGAGCTGATGAGACTGAACCTCAGGCTGAGACTGAGACCCCCAGGAGGAGCTGGTTGGGTTCTTCGGGGGATTGTGACACAGGAGGCAGTGTCCAGGGGCTGGTTCATGCTGAGGACGATCAAGTGACCAAAGAGACAGCTGATAAGCATGCTACAGGATCGCTGCTGCCAGTCACTGAGCCCTGGCTGACTGGATAGCCCTGCCATTGGCTCAGCATCCCAGGGCCAACACCAGCAGCTGCCACTGAGTCCTTGCCTCTCAGCCTTGGGTGACAAAAGGTTAGGTGCTGAAGTGGTGGGCCCCAGCTATGATTAGCAGGGTCTGCAGACAGGTCAGAGATCACAGGTTACAAATGCTACCTCTAGGCATAAAGACATGTTCATATGCCTCTGGCTTACTTGACCATGGCTTGCTTTGTGTCCTGTGTCCCCTGACCTTAAGGATACACCACTGTCTCCTGCCTTGGCTGAGAATGCAGAAGCCAGGTTCTCCAGCCAGGGCTGAGAAATGTAGCTCTGGGGTGCCCGTAAGGTCACAATCCTCAAAGCTCCAGCTGTCTCATGCCACCTGCGGTGAGGCTAGCCTGGTGGGGCTAGAAGTACCAAGGGAGAGAGGGAGCCCCTTTTTACACTCAAGAACCCTCCAGGCTTGTCCAGTACAGACTCCAGCTGAATTCCCCTGGGTTAACTGTTTGCCACATTCAACGGGTTCCTCAGCAAGTCACTCCAGACTGCACACCTTGATTCAAACACTCGGCCTAAGGGCTGGGCACGGAACGGTGAGGTGGGACTTCACCTGAACCCCTCCATCTGGCCCTCAGATCTCTGTGGCTGCAATGGCTCTTGCAGGATTCTGTCCTACCTCTGCTTGTATGGCAAGAGGGAGGAGCCTAACCCAACTCTGTCAGTTTCAGGCTCTCCCATGGGCCCCATATACCTTTTCTCTTGGTAACTAGTGCAGTGATTGGATCTATCTTGTCCAGATACTGCCTGAGGCTCTAGCCCAGTGAAACCACCCTGGGGCCAGGGCTGGTGGCGCCACACAAATGTGTTCTTCATTCATATAGCAGACTAAGGTAAGCATGGCCCCCAACCGATCCTAGGGCAGACCCCCACCTTGCACATGAATTAAGACAAGATTCAGCCAAGAGATGCTCTGGCATGGTGTGGTCGTGGCTGCTGATATAATCTCCTCAGAGAACACCCCTCCTCCCCATTCTATCCTCACCTCCAGTCTGACAGTCATCTGCTACAAGGGCTATGTTCTCACAGGGCTTCAGACACCCCCATATCATAAACCCTTGAGGGTTTGGGGAGTCGCACCTGTCCAGACAGACAATGTAGGTCAGTCCTAGGCCTAGTTTCTCTATCTGTCAGTGGTCCCAAACCATTCTGAAGTTCTGAGGTGGGCGCTAGGGTCAGAACATAGCAGTCTGGCTTGTTTCCCAACCCATGGCTTACAGAGCCTGTGCATGCCACCAGCTTACCTGGAAGCTGGCCCTCATGAGGTCACAACCCTGACAGACTCTACATGTTGGGGGTTACATGAGGCACCCCTTGACAGCTATTTCTCAGGGACACAAGTTTCAAAGCATGTGGGGAGAGACACGCAGGCTCACAGGCTACCTGGTGTTTATATGCTGCCACCAGGCATGACAACCCTCTGCGTACGGCTCTAAGTAGCCCCTCTTTCCTGGTGTTGGGGCAGGGGTATGCAGGGAAGCTGAAGCTTTCCCGTTTGTCTCTCCCAAATGATCTCAGGAGCCCCTTCCAGGGCCTGGGATGCACAGTCAGTTCCAGAATGACTGCATGCTATTAGAAGCAGGCATGTGTGAGGCACCCCTCTTGCTCTGGGGTGGTCAGTGATGGTGACACACAGCATCCTAACAGCTCTGGGCTCCTAGCCTCTCTAAGACCATGTTCAGAGGACCCCACTGGATGGACTTCTCTCTTCCTGGTGAGCTCTGATAGCCACGGACACACACGCCCCAGTCAACCGGAATGACAGTCACTTGCTGTCACCTCAGCCAGGCCAGGAGATGGCTTGTTGCCACGGAGACCTCACTAATAGCTGTGGACTTGTGTCTTAAGACCAAGGGTGATAGAACTATCACCAGGACTCTGGGCCTTCTAGTAGTTTCTAAGACACACCAATGGATATACGGTCTAGTCCTCGCCACCCACCAGACCCAGCCTGGCCTGGTCTTCCCTGAGGCCCGCTTACCAGCCTTGCTCTGAGCGCCTGGGTCCCCCGTGGCCTGTTCGCCTCACTGCCTGTCTTCCCTCCCGCGGCTGCCGGGCAGTCTCAGCAGCTAAAGAGACGCCAAAAATAGTTCCCAGCACAAGTGTTTTCATTACCACAACAGGTGCGTTACTAAGTTAGACTGTACACGTGTCCTCGGCTGATGTTTGGGGGCACACGCTAGCACCCCTTAACTCCTCCAGCCTTGATGCTTGAGTGGGAGTTAGCCTGGGGCACACAGACCCCCGTTAACAGCTCTTCCATTCTTTCTCCCTGACATGGGGGAACACCATTATCACCACAGCAAGAATCGGTCAACAGTTGATGGCCAGTCAGGCTGTGTGCCAGGCTCTACTGTGTGGCCAAGCAAGGCATGGAATGATGGCAGCAAGAGGGACAACATAGAACACAGGCCACACATGAAAGCTCTTCCTTATTCACAGAGCCCAGGAGTTACACGGCAGCCTTACACGCCTGGGATATACAGCTAATTGGCCCAGATCAAGGTTGCTGCTGCTGGGGACAAGTATTCTGAATGTCACCCCAAGCTTTGGTGGAATCATCCACTATGACCAACGCCCACAGGACACGTGGTGTGGCTCAGACACGGCAGCAGCGGCTTTGTCAGTGTGGTACACCGATCATCCTCAGCGCTCCACACTGTGGTAGCATCATCTCACAGGTGGGGAAACTGAGGCACGGGCAACCATCCCTGCCGGTCATTAGCTACCCTGCCAACAGTAGGAGCTAGGACCTCTTATAACAGTGGAGTGCAACTTGTCATTGACGTCCGTCCCACTGTCTGCTCCTGTCACCTTGTCTCAGCAGGCGTTCACATGCAAAGGCCCCACAGTTCCAGCACAACGTCTGAGTATTTCAGCCTCTAGCCCTAGGCCCCTGGGCCTCTCTTGTCTTTAAGGAGGCTGGAGATCCAACAACAGGAGTGTAGAGGCCTCGAGAAGGACCCAGGTGGCCTCTTCGAAGCCCATGGTTCTTGTTATTTTACTTACAGAGACAGACCATGGACCACTTTAAGCAGCCGTGGAAACGGCCATGGGAAACAGACGTCGCGGGTCCATCCTCGCCATCTGTAAGCAAAATAAGAAGAACAGGCTGTCAGGAGGGCGCCGCAGTGGCTGTCCCCTCTGCTGTTTAGTGGCAGTCCTAGAGACCGCACTGTTGCCACTGGGGGCTGGTCCACTCCTCTGGGCCTCAGTTTTCTCCTCTATAAAACAGGTCACACAGGGTATCTGTCAGTGGGACACTTCACTCTTTAAAGGCTGTCTTCCCAGAAAGGGCTTGGTTACCCCCTCAGCACTGTCCTTGAGGGACCTGAGGGCCCAGGCTGTTTTCAGTGATGGAGATTCAGGTCTGTTATGTGAGGTGGGGTAGTAAGTAGCTCTAGGAGTCGAAGTAGCTCTAGGTGTAGTAAGTCCCCTGCCACCAAAACTCGCAAGGGCAGATGGGAGCTCAACTCACCTACAGGTTCCCTGGCTTAGAGGAGTGTAGGCTGGGTCAAAGCTTCTTGTGTTGTCCCAGGTCTCCACACTCAGTCTTCTGCCTATCTCCCCAGCCATAGACCAATCTGTGCCCAGGGTGGTCACCGGGCCAGGAAAACCATAGCCCTCAAGTAGGCTCAAGGTCAGTGTCTCCATTTGGCTTGGAGCATGGGGCAGGAATCTGCAGTCGACTGCAGAGGCTTTACCAGGGCTGCCACCAGCCAGGTGTAGCGGGGGGGAGGGTGTGGTTAACCATGTGGATTAAGAACAAACCTGAGGTGACCTCAGGAGGCCTGGGCCTCAGACTTATGTACCAACTAGCCCCGATGATCTGAAGCCCCCCCTTAGACTGGAAGTGTCCGCTTAGAGAAAATACGAAAGCCTTGTGCTCTACAGACAGAGCTGCGACCCCCACTGTGGGACTGAGAGGCAGGGAGGACACAAACCCTCTCCGTGATCTACACATGCCTTGGCCACACTCACATCTGTTCACAGGCCTCATGAAAGCAAAACCTCGAAGGCCCTGGCTGACCCCATCCTCACTCCTAACCAGGAACATCTGGTGTCCAGGCTAGCTTTCGGGATAAGAGATGATCAACAGGGAAATGCAGGCTGGGGGAGGCACACCCTCAGGGTCGGTGACAGCTCACGGTCCAAGACCAGACTGTCAGCTGCTCTGTTCTTTCCAGCTTGGGGCCTTCAAACATCTGGAGGACCCTTGTTTCAGGAAGTGTGTCATGGCCTCATGGGTGGGAGGGGGCACAGCAGCCCCTAAGCATGATCTTGTTTGTAGGTTAATGCATTGGTTGGTGACATCGGCACTGTCCCACAGAGTCCCCTTTCACCCACCGGATGAGCTCTGAGGCTGCCCAGGATCCAGACTCTACCTGTCCTTCAGCCCAGAGGAAAGGATGCTTAGGGAGGGAGGGGAAGGGACTGTGGCAGCCTCATCACTGACAGAGGGGCACTGTGAGAACAGGCACAGGTATCTTAGCCTGGAGGAGCATGGCCAGCAGACAGACCCAGGACCTGGCAGGGCCATCTGTCCTCTGAGAGCATCAGGCTGCTAAGAGCAGAGTCCCAGCTACAAGAGGCAGGGCTAGGAGTCCTCACATGCCAGGCTCAACCATCGTTGGATCCTGGGTTCACTGTAGGATATGGGAGGTAGCACCTCCCAGGAGGCTGGAAGGTGTACATGGGTATTCACACCCAACCTGCTATGTGCTGGGCAAGTTCTCAGATGGCCCTGGTTCCATGTGGCTATACCTAGAAACAGATGATATTACCCCCAAAGCAAGGGACTGGCAGCCTGCCAACAGGGGGACAGGGTTAGCCTGGGACAAGGCTAACCTGGTGTTGACCTGCTCGCTCCTCATCTCAGCCTCTCTCTAGACAGCAAGGCTTTATTAAGAGCTTTAACTTTGAAGGGCAGAGTCTGTGCTCCGTGTCCAGGGATGCAGAGGCCAGAGGAAGCATACATGCCCTGGAAACCAGGTGACACCAGGCTGAGTTACTGAGACCCCTCCCACAGAGAGGGATCTTGCTTCACTGTGAGATCTGGGGAAGGGTCCCTCAGGTATGTGTCTTCAAAAGTTGCAGTGGGGGGTGGCACTGGCTTCTTCTCCCTGCCAGACCTCTTAGGATATACTCTTATGCCTCTGTCTTGGGGGAGGGGCATGGGACATTGTCCTCTTTAATGGCCAACTGTTCAGTCGTTCAAAGGAAAGAGGTGGTTATGGAAGAGAGACAATACTCCTGTTCTAGGCTCCCTGGAATTGCCGCGGTAGCCTCTGCTCTGGGCTGCTGAGCTGAGCCTAAGTCCCCAGGGCCTTCGGACATCAGTGTTTGTAGGCTGGTGCTAATGTCTGTTAACTTGCTTCATTCGTACAATGGCTGTCAGACAGGCCACCACTCCACAAATGAAGAAGCCGGGCCAGAGCTCTGAAGTAGCTAGCTTACCCAAAGTTTTGTAGCACGCAGGAGGAGCTGGGATCTGAACCTAAGACTAGGTTGCAAACGGGCCACAGGATCACGTCATGTGAAATACGGGTACAGAATTTCAAATGACTCCACCTACTCTACTCGCGAGGTATGGGCAGGGGTGGGGCAGACTCACGTGTGTGAGGTATGAAGGAGGGTGGTCGTGTGGCTCCTTGGGACGAAGTGGGAGGTGGGGGCGGCATGCTGGGGGGTGTGGACCGGGGCTGCGTCTTCACTTCAGCCGGGGAGTCTGGCATCGCTGCAGCCTTCTCCTTCCTGTTGGCTAAGAGAGAGAGAGAGAAACAGATTAAGCAGCTGAGGGCACAGCAGGCTGGCCAGCACCTGGGCAGGGGTCTGAGCTTCCACTGACCAGGTGGACTCCTGATGCCAACCATCCCAAGTATTGCCACAGGTGGCTGGCATCTAAGCACAGGTGAAGCAAAGAGCCAGACCAAAGGTGGGCTCATCGGGGCTCGTGTCTGTGCGTGAGCTCACAATGCAGGTCTCCGTGCTCGGGTCCTATCTCAATCCTCCTGAGCTACCTCTTTATTTAAAAAGGTACAGGAGGGGCGATGACCCCAGATTTCTAGATGTTGATACTCTCCTTAGGTATCTGCTTAGGACGGGCAGGGGAACTGGCTTTGGGTGTGGAGCCTCTATTTCAACCATCTCCTGCCTTGGGGTGCTTGTGACCCCTATGGGAGGCTTGTGGATGATATCAGGGTGCCTAGGGCCTGATCCCTGAAACATGACCCGTTGGCTCAGGACATCCATTACCACGTCCGAGTGACCCAACCCTCATCAGGGTGCTCAGCTCAGGGGTAGCTGAGCAGGGAGGAGCTAAGATAGTGATGACGGCCAGGGTGAACTGAGGGTCAGGTGGATCCTGGGTATTCAAGGACCCAGACAGGCTCAGCCTAAGTCCAAAGGGCAGGTCTTGCTTAGGGCCTACTTTGCGGAGGATGGTGAGCCCCAGGGCTTCCCTTTTACCATAAGATGTGGTCAGGCAGGGTGGGTGAAAAGACCTCTGTGAGCTGTTTTTTTGTCACATGGCCCAGCAAGGGTGGGCTCCTGCCTGCTATGAGCAGAAAGCAGATCTCTCTTGCCCCCCCACCCCACCCCATGCTCATACCCGTAGGGTCTTCCATGGGTAAGTGGTTTCAGAGACGGAGTCACAGAGTCTCTTGGCTGTCCTCATTGCAACGATGGGTACCACCCCTCAGCCTTTCCCATCCTGCATCCCATTTCTGGAACCCATCATTGGCAGACATATGGAAGTCTAGGTCACCCAGGCCTCTGTGGCTGGTGATCAGTAAGTGACATCTACCAGGCGGCAGGCCAGAAACAGTGAAGCCTCATCTAACCCCCTCCATGGTCTGCAGAGGGGAGAGAAGCCCAGAGACACTCTAGACAAGCCCGGAGGTCCATGACGGCTCGTGTCTGGGTCCGTTATGGAGGAGGCATGAAGCCCCCATCTTGCTGGGCCCATGAAGAGGGGCAGGATGGGAGCAGATGGCACACAGCAGCCACCCAGGCTGCGGCACCTGCTGTCCCCCAGCTGCGGCTCTGGCCCCCTCCTGCCAGCGCTCAGCCCCTCCCCTCCCTCAACTGTCCAAAGGCTGATGGCTGGGCACATGTGTGACCACAGCTGTGGGGACTTATCAACACCATGCCTGTCTGTAGGGCTGATGACCAGTCTCCGGTGACAACAACCAAAGAAGGCAACTGGGACTGGCTGCTTCAGCATGGAGCACTCCGTCCTCGCCAGCCCTTCACCTGTCCAGTCTGCCCTTGGGCCCTCGGGCAGATGGGGTTGCCCGAGAGGGTATTGCCAGGGCCAAATGTCTCAAGTACCAGGCTGGCTCTGGTCACAGGCCCAGGACACTGGGGTCACTCTGTGACTCTGGAGCCTTTCACAGAGGGGAAGTGGCTTCACCTGAGCTTCAAGTACCAAAGTGGAGCCAATTGAGCACATGGGCAGCTGGGCTGGCACTGGAGAGTAGCTGTTATCTCTCTGCATATTTATTCAGTATCATACTGATAGATCTACTGGTGCCACTGACCAGGGTACCATGATGCAGTGGCCACCACTCGCATGCCCGCGGTGTCAAAGGCACCAGCAGGGTCACTAGGCACCTAGTGACCGGCAGAGACTTAATTTTCTTTCTTGTTTATAAGGCATGAATCATTGAGACCAGGGGTCATTGCTCTGCCTCAGAGCCTCAAATGTTCATTGCATGCAGACTCTGTTCCCAGCACTGCATGGATCTCATTTGCCCTTACAGAAGTCCTGTGGAGCTGATTCCACTCAGAGCCCATTTCAAAGAGAGGGCCAGGTACACCACAGTGTCGTGATCTGCTCCAAGTCACACAGCACACATGGACATCAGACGGAAAGCCAGCGAGTGTGGGGACTCAGAGGTACCTGGTCTCCTGTTTTGGACCGGTCAGCAGCCTCCCAGATCTGGGGTTGCTACCCCTCTCTGCCTTTACACTTTCCTTGCCTTTCCTCCAGTGGCCTAAGAGTCCACCTCCCAGAATGCCCTGGGGAATCCTGTTTCCTTCTCCAGCTTATCCCCTCTGGACTGTCACCACACTGTAGTCACCTAACTCCCTGGTGAACCCATCTGCAAGGTTTGCAGCCACCAAAAGGTGACGATTCAGGGTAGGGATCGCTGTGGCAGCCCCATCTGGAGTATCTTGCCAGGACCCTTGGGGAAAGGGTAGAGGGTGCCTGGAGGCCAGTGCTCAAGGGACAGCTGATGGTTGGTTAGGTCAGGTGGGAGGGGCTGGTTGCTGAGAGAGTCTGTCTCCCGGGGCCTGAGCCTCTTAGCTCTAAAGTATGTAAACCATCCACTTCCCTGAGGGTGTGTGTGTGCACATGTGCGTGTGCCTGTGTGTGTGTGTCTGTATTTGTGTCTGTTTGTGTGTGTGTGTGTGTGTGTCTGTGTGTATGTGTGTCTGTGTGTATGTTTGAGTATGTCTGTGTGCGCACGCGTGTATCAAAAAAGGTGGAGGATGTCGTTCACAGGACCTGTACCACAGCTATTATTTTTACTTAGAGGTTTGCTGTGTAGCCAAAGATGGCCTTGAACTTCTAATACTTCCGCTTCTGAATGCTGAGATTCCAAGTGTGTGCCGGCATGCCCAATGTATGGGTGCTGGGGTTGGAACCTAGGGGTTTCTGCATGCTACAGAAGCTATCCACTGAGCTATGTCTCCTGACTTGCTGCTGATTTTCACTGATGTCCCTCTTCACACTGGAGTGGCTGGGAAGGTATTGTGGGTCCCACAGGCTCAGAAAAGTCAAGGGCAGGGATGAGGCCTTGTCCTTCCCAGGCTCTGCTTCCTCGCATCTTCGTGCTCTGCTTCTCCCAGGGCCCTCGAGGCACATAAGAGCTAGAGCGGAAGCTGGCCAGGTATGATGCTCCATTGTCGGATGATCTGGGAACCCACTGAGAGGCAGTCCTTGCTTCCTGACAAGTCTGCAAATGCTAGTAGGAGGCTTGGTGCACCCAGAGCAGTCCTGGAGAGGTCCAGACCACCCTGAAATCTGGGCGGCTTGGGGCTGTGTCTTTTCTTTTTGCCCCACCAAGGTCAAATCCCTGGCCTCAGCCATGCTTCTGCTGGAATCTCCAGCCTCCAGTCTCCTTGAGGTACAGCTCCATCTGAAACTGAGGCAGGTCCAGGAAGTGATTTCTCCAAAGCCATTCAGCTGTGCAGTACAGAGCTGGGTCTTGTCCATCAGTCCCAAGCCACACTGTCCTTTCTGTCTCCACCTGCCCAGGCCTGTGTCCCCAGGTTCTAAGCTGTGTTTCCAGGTAGCTGGGCAGAGGTTCTTTTGCCTGTTTAGTTGGACTTTTCTTATGAGGTGAGCAGGCATGAGTAAAAATCTCAGCAGGCCGGGCAGTGGTGGCACACGCCTTTAATCCCAACACTTGGGAGGCAGAGGCAGGGGGAGCCTGGTCTACAGAGTGAGATCCAGGACAGCCAGGGCTATACAGAGAAACCCTGTCTCAAAAAAAAAAAAATCTCAGCAGTCCTGGGGGCAGCATTGTTGACCGTGTGTTCCAGGGGATGCTGTCAGAGCCCCTCCAGGGTCTTACCACAATTCATGGCTTGTGGGTGGGGCAGCCAGGATGGGTACTATGCACCAGCTCTTAGCCAAGCTATTGCTGTGGATTTTTTAGTACAGGCTACTGGTGTGGTGTAGCCACAGTGAGAACCTTGTGGAAGAAGCCCAGAGATGCCTGGAAGCCATATCTATGCCCGTGCCCCTAGGCCAATCTTCACACCAGCAGAAAGCACATGGGTTGTGTGGCACCCAACCTAGAGTGGTTTCTGGGGAATGTCTGTCACCAGCTTGTTAGTGCTCACTGCTTGACTTAGGACAGTACCGCACTGAGCTGTGCGGGTCGGGGATGCTGTGGGAAGAGCCTCATGCCCAGCTCCTTCATCCCAAGGGAATGAGGTAAAGATTCTATGGCATCACACAGCCTAACAGATAGCTGTTCTTGCGGCGAGGAATGTCTGCTTTACAAGGGCCTCATGTGATATACAATCCTGCCCCACCTTACGTGGGCGGGAGTGGGGGAAACAAGGCACAGAGTGGTCCAGTGAAACCCAGCTGAGGAGCCAGCAGTGTAACTGGATTTGGGTAGATTGCCCGTGCTGGTCTCAGGGACCTTATAGTCAGGTGACCTCAGACAGCTTCCAAGGTCTCTAAAGCATGGCCAGTCTTCCATGTTATTTTTTTTAGAGCTGATGGTATCTTTCCTCCAGCGCTCTCCAGAAAGGGGACTTTATGATCTCCCTATCCTGAATCCTGTAAACTGCATATAGGGCCTGGCAGAGGGGATTTGGGGATCCCCTGAGGGGTGTGAATGAGTAGGGGACTGGGGGCAGTGGCACCTATACACTGTCCTGTGGTGCCTCAAGTTGGGCAAAGCCTAGGGTGATTGATCTCTGGGAAGACAGAGTGTGAGAAGGGCCTTGCTCCTCCCCCACCCTGTCACAGTTCTGTTACTTCCCTGTTCCCACCCTCCAGAAAATTCCCAGGCCCCATAGCTGCTTGTGGGCCCAGGGGAGCTCCTGTGTTGTCCAGGCTGAGCATCCACAGAGGAAGCAGCTCTCTGAAGCCAGGCGGGGCCTGTGGGAAAGAACACGGAATGTGCCGGAACAGACCCTTCCATCCATCACTGTCCCCATCGGCTATGGTTCCCAGCCCGCCCTCCCAGCTGGGAACTGGCCTAGGTCCAGCATGGAGCTGACTATCTTTCTGGC